TGAAAAGATAGAAATAATAAATACCTTCTTCTAATTTTTCAAGATCTTCAAATTCCTTTTCTTCAAAAATGGGTGGATTACCTTTCCGAATCCAATCTTGTGTGCATATAAGTGCTTCAATCAATTTGGGAGTTAAAGAACTACGAAAGTGATCAACAACACGACCGCCCGTGCTAAATGCAGATTCCGATGCAACCGTGGATGCTGGGATGGCCAACACATCTCTAGCCATGCGAGAAAGAGTTGGATACTTCGATCCTGTCGTCTTCCACCAGTACAGAATATCAAAGCTCACTTGAGTCATCTTTTCACATTCATCATCCAAATATTTATCCAATTCAGACTTCAACACACCATGAACTTCAACGGCTTCAAATTCTTCCATTTCTCTTTGCAACATTCTCTCAAAATCATCAATGTTGACAACATCATCAATGATATTAGATCGAGTCTGAGTAGATGAGGAATCTGTTGCTGCACCAGATAGTGATGTGGAATTGTACTCTTCAAACATAGTTTTCAAAACACCCTCAATCTTCTTAAGCAGCTCCTTTGCATCACTTTCTTTATACACACGGTTGATCATGAAGCTCACCCAACGCATTTTGTGACGTGGATCAAGAATGGTTGCAATATATATCATAGCATTGACATTCTTCCAATCACCCCAGTACTTGAAAAACTTCTCAGACATCTTGGTAACCATTGATCTAACCATAAAATCTGAATGTTCCTTCATTGATTGAATGTTGTATGCAACACGGAAAATTTCTTTCATGTATAAATTTCCGGTTACATACTTGGAACCTGAAATTTTAACAGTAGTGTCATGAAAACACTTAAGAAATGGAAGAAATCCACGCACATACGACCAATCCTCTTCATTTGGTGGGGTTTTGCCATTTTTCTTCAGTTCTTCAATGAACTTTTCATCTTCAAATTCCAACAGATCAAATGCATCTTTTACTCTAAAGGCCGAATCCAACATCTTATATGTTGAATTCCATCGTGTATCGACATCGAGTGAAACAACCGAATTTGTGCTCAATCTTGCTTTCTCAATCAACTTCTTGAATGCTTGTGTTCGATTCGATGAAGACCTGACAAAAAGAACTGCAGCACGTATTCTCTCAACTGGACCCTTAAACTCCTTCAAACCATCCTTAACAATGAGATTAAGGATATGTGCTCCACACCTCATGTGTAGATATTTGCCATCTAAAATTGTTCCTCCCCATTTATTCAACCTGTCCTTTAGATATTTCAAACCAACATCATTCGCACTGGCATTATCAACTGTAATACTGAAAATATTTTTTATTTTCCAGGACACTAAACAATCTTCAACTTTCTTCCCAATAGCAGCTCCAGTGTGACCGAGAATGGGACAGAAGTTTAAAATTTTCTTATGCAAATTCCAACTTTCATCAATGAAATGGGTTGTCAATGACATATAACTAAGATTCTGGCATGATGTCCAAATGTCAGTTGTGAGGCAAATACTACCCTTGTGGTTCTTCATAAAACTTTCCAACTTGGACTTCTCATATTCATAAATCTTAATACAATCTCTAACCAATGTTTTCCTTGATGGAATTCCAAACCTAGGTTGAATCACACTCATGCATTCACGAAAACCTTCAGATTCTACAATCCTAAATGGCATCTCATCAACAACAACCCATTTTGCAAGTGCTTTACGACATTGTGGTTGATCAAAATGCAAATAAGAATTGACAACAGTGGAATCACTACCCCTTCTAGGTTGATTATGCAATGTTACCTGCTTAATCCTTTTTCCCGGCCGCTCTTCATCTTGAACCTCATCCAACTTTGCTTTGCATCTTCTCAAATGGTTTAACATAGCACTAGTACTTGTACCTTGCTTGCCCTTACAACTTATCAAGGTAGAACAGTGGTGACATTTGGCCCTATCCCCGGCTTCAGTTTTTTTAAAATTATCCCATGCAATGGATCGAAGTTTGGGTGTCGCATTTGTGGGAGCTGTTGCAATTGGTTCAGCTTGAGCTTCAGCTGCTGTCTCAATCGGTTCTGTCTGTGGCTCAGTCGGTGTTTCCGTTTCTAATGGCTGGATTGAATCCACAGCATCACCACTTGTTTTTGAACCCATTGACTCCATAATTCTATAAATCAAAAACCAATAAACTTCATGAAAAACATGAAAAATAAAAAAAACTTCATTCTGTTCATATAAATCAGAACACTTTCAGCCCATGAGAAATTAACTAGATGCAAAGACTTCCTTCCAGTCCAGTCCTTACATTAAGGAGGATTTACAATAATCTTGGAGTTAACAAGAACTGTACAAAATTTCGGTACATTAATCATGGGAAAACTCAATGACACAATATGTTACGCATGAAATAGTCCCATTAAGTCCTAAACATACAGATACAGACATCACAGATACATTACCCATAATCCAAAAGCAATCAGTCAAATATTATTAATAATAATATTCTAAAACAACAGAGAATCTAAAAGAGAAAAGGTTAAAGCTCTTACCAGTGTAAATACAAGACAAATCAAAACTACAAATTCTGGTAGATAAAGTCTAGCAAATCTGCCCAAATTACTTCACAAATGTTAAACCAACAAACCAATAAACCAATAAACCAACAAATTAAAATTTTCGGTACATAAAAAAGAAAGATTGTTTGTATGTATACAACTATACATTACATCAAAGTCTCAAACGGACAGTGGAACTGGAAACTAGGGCTGGACAAAAACAATAAGTAAAAAATCTCATACCTTTGCAGCAGCGGCGGTTGTGGCGAGAAGAGGCGAGGAGCGGCGAGAAAGAAGGCAGGGATACCGACAACAACCTAGGGCAACTCTTGCGGAGCTGAATCTGGGGCTGGGCAACTCGCGCGGAGCAGCAACCTTGGGCAACTCGCGCGGAGCAGCAACCTTGGGCAACTCGCGTCTCGCGAGGTAGAGGGATGAGCGAATGGGGCTGGGCAGTCCGTCAAGAAGGGATGAACAAGGATGAATCGGAAGGAAGAAAGTGACGCGCTGGCGGCGTGAGGAAGAGGATAATGAATTTGGGTGAGCGATTGATTAGGTATTTAGGTTAGTTTTATATATATAATAATATAATATATGATATAATATATATTTTAAAATTTTAATATAATATACGGTTCGGTTCGGTTAACCGGGATAAAAAATCTTAAAAACCGTAACCGAACCGAACCGAGCAAATACTTCATTTGAGGTATTTGTAACCGAACCGAGTCCCCCGGTTAACCGAAAATTCGGTTCGATTTCGATTCGGATCTACGATTCAGCGATTCGGTTCGAATTTTTTGCCCAGCCCTACCCCTACCAACTGGGCTAGCCCCAGTGGCCAATAAATCGAGTATATTAATTTGTAAAATCTACACCCTATTATATTATTCCATGTATTAAGCCCACTTGCATGTCTTTCAAAAAGACATAAGATCTACTTTTAATATTATTTAGTAAATTTTAGTCATAGCCCCGAACGCTCCTCCCTATATTTTAACAGTAAATTATTATTTTTTCATATAAAATAATCAAAGCTATTTTATTGCAGCCTTGGATCAGTTGTTGTCCCCCACGCAGCATTTAATTTTGGTCCCGTGATACTTTTTTCTGCCCCATTCTACAAATAATATAATAATATTCGAATTGAAAAAAGAAAGAAAAAGATATATTTTTTTTTTATTTTTTTTAGCGCCACGGTATTAGGAGTTATGTTCTGATTAAGGTCGATCCACCTAAAAATAATGGATGAGTCTCTCAATAAGAGTTTTTCACATCCACAAAGACTCAAACCCGAGACTTTACTTAAGTCACATCAAGCTGTTTACCACTTGAGCCAACCGATATTGGTATCGCTCTCTCATCTTTGTTTGTATAAAATCCAATGAAGCCTAACCTTATCAACCTTCTTTGCTCCTTCACCGGAGTCTCAACCTTTTTATTGATTCTTCTGCGCCTCTATTCTTCATTATCTTTCGCTGTCCTCTTTCTCACCTCTTTATTTGTTTATCTCTTATTTATATTATTCACTTTTTTTCTTCCTTTTTTTTCTTCTTTTTATCTTCCCAGTGGAGGAGCTCTGCATAGAATCTTGTACATATATTTCAGGTAAAAATATGTCTTTACAGTTTCACAAGCATTTTTTTTTTTCTGGTAAATATTTAGTGTTTTCTTTATTAAATTTTGTTCTGATTTTCTGGTTTTGTAGTAATTTTACCAGTTCACCTGGTTTCAAGAACTCTGTTTCTAAGATCTGCAAACTGCAGCCTCAAAGCCATTAAAAATGATTTCTTCATTTCTGAGTAAAGAGAGTATTTTTCATGTTAAATTCCCATAAATTAGCTGAAATTTCCAAATTTTATTTATTTATTTATTTATTTATTTATTTTCTTGTGAACTGCAAGTTGAGATCTGAAGGAAATAACAGAAAATCAAATAAATATGTGTGCCCTGCCCTGTCCAAACAAA